CCCCACCCTGGGGCAACCCCATCCCCGGGAGCACCCCCACCCCGAAGCACACCCACCCCGGGGCACCCCGCATCCCCGGGGCACCCCTGCCCCGGGGCACGCGAACCTCCATCCCCGGGATTACCTCCACCCCGGGAGCACCCCCACCCCGGGGCACCACCACCCCGCGTTCCTGGGGCACCCCGCGTTCCCAGGGGCAAGGCACGCAAACCCCGCATCCCCGAGAACACCCCCACCCTGGGAGCACCTCCATCCCGGGGCATATGAACCCCTCATCCCCGGGAGCACTCCCACCCCGGGCACGCCAACCCCTCATCCCCGGGAGCACCCCACCCCGGGCACCCCGTATCTCTGGGAGCACCCCCACCCCGGGGCATGTGAACTCCGTATCCCCAGGGCACGTGAACCCCGCATCCCCGGGAGCACTCCCACCCCGGGGCATGTGACCCCCTCTGTCCCAGGATGCCTCCCCAATCTCTGGGTGCCCCCCTCACCCTCACCCTAATCCCAGAGCATCCCCTATGCCGGGACAGGTGTCCCCACCCTGAGGTATCCCATCCCCCCAACCCCGGGGATCCCCCTCACCCCATTCTGGAGCAGGACCTCCTATCCCCAGCAAACCTCCCTAGTTCTGGGGGGTCCCCCGCCCCTCCCCGCCCCTCCCGGGGCGCCTCCCCAATTTCAGGACACTGTGCCCTTCCATCCCGGGACAGGCGCTCCCCCAATCCTGGGACGTGCCCCCTCTCCTGGGACAGGTGAGACCCCCCCAATCCTAGGACACGCTCCTTCCATCTTGGGGCTCCCACCCCATACCTTTCCCCAAGGGAGTAAGGGGGAGGCATCAAGAAGAAAGGAATGTGGTTGGAAAGTGGGGTACTATAGCTCCCCCCAACTCCACCCCAGCCTAGAAGCCAGAGGGAGTGGAGCTGTGCAGTGGGGGGGGGCGGAGGGGGAGGGCATCCTCGACGTGCCCCTCCCCCTCTTCCCTGGGGGAGATCTAGGGGTCCCTTCGGGGGACACGCGGGGGCCTGGGCTGTGAGTTTCGGGAACACGGAGGTGGCCTGTCCCGGTTGAGATGATGGGGATAGGTTGGTTGTCACCAGGCCTTAACAAGCGGTCCCCCAAGATCAGGGCCCTGTCACCCCGGGGAGGTGGATTTTGCCCTTGGCCGCCAGGGATCTGTCTCAGGGTGCCTCAGTGGAAGAGGAACTCACCACCTGCTAAGTCATCCCGAAGGTTTTTTTTTTAAACTCTGGGCCTGGGCGCTGTCCCTCAGCTCTTCAGCTCAAGGCTAGCGCTCTACCACTTGAGCCACAGTGCCACTTCTAGGTTTTTCTGCTTATGTGGTGCTGAGGAATGGAACCCAGGGCCTCATGCATGCAAGGCAAGCACTCTACCACTGAGCCACCTTCCCAGCTCCCTGCAGGTATTCTTAAAAGGTGGGAGTTAGGATAAGAACATGAAGTGGAGAAGGGGAGCATTGGATCCCACTGGGCCTGCCAAACTAGTAAGTGTTTGTTATAAGAAGTTTGATGTTTTTTGTTGTTGGGTTTTTTGTTTTTAATAGGCACCCTTTGTGTCTGTAAAGTCTCAGCCTTACAGTGAGGTCAATGGGGAAATAATAGAAGAAAGTTTTGTTTGGAAGTTTTTCTTTTTTTGGGGGGGTGGGGTGGGGTGGGGAAATGTTTGTTGGTTGTGGGCTTTGAACTCAGGGCCTGGGCAACTGTCCCTGAGCCCTTTTTTGCTCAAGGCTAGCACACTACCACTTTTGAGCCACAGCACCACTTCTAGTTTCCTGGTGGTTCATTTGAGAAGAGTCTTACAGACTTTCCTGCCTGGGCCGGCAGTAGCTAGGATGACAGGTGTGAGCCACCTGTACCAGGTTGGAAATGTTTCAATAGCGTGGTGTGGGCGGGCATAGGCACCTGTGCTGGGGCTTGAACTCAGGGCCAGGGCACTGTCCCTGAGCTGCTTCTGCTCAAGGCTAGCACTCTGCCACTTGAGCCACAGCACCACTTCAGGCGTTTTCTGTGTATGTGGTACTGAGGAATCGAACCCAGAGCTTCATGCATGCTAGGCAAGCACTTTACTACTGAGCCACATCCCCAGACTTCCTTTAGCTTTTTCCCCTTCAAGTCTGGTGCTCTACCACCTGAGTCACACCCTCACTTCTGTTTTTTTTTTTGAGGGGTGGATAACTGGAGTCTTCCAGACTTTCGTCCCAGGTTGGCTTTGAACCTTGGGCCTCAGATCTCAGCCTCCTTGATATAAGAGTGAGCCAGGAGTGAAGACTAGCATTCTGTTAGCCAATCCCATTCACATTTTGAACTCCACACTGATTCATTAACGTTTTCATCTTTGCCTCACACCGTTTTTCTTTGGAAATTAAGATCTGTAGAGGTGGACCATAATCACAGTGTGCTGAGTAAATTTTAAATGCTTGTCTCTGCTTTTTCAAGCATTCCTGTTTAGACTTTGCAATGGTTCAAAGTCCATATAAATAAAAACATATATGCTTTTGTTAGACATTAATAAGTGGTACTTCATGGTGCTGGTATTCCTATTTTTCTTTTTCTTTTTTTTTTTGGGTCCGGTCATGGGGCCTGAACTCTGGGCCTGGGCGCTGTCCCTCAGCTCTTCAGCTCAAGGCTAGCGCTCTACTACTTGAACTACAGTGCCACTTCCGACTTTTTTCTTTTTGCTTATATGGTGCTCAGGAATCGAACCAGGGTCTCATGCATGCAAGGCAAGCGCTCTACCACTGAGCCACCTTCCCAGCCCCCTATTTTTCTTTTAAAACTTTAAGAACTTTCTAAAGTTCGGGGTAGATTTGATATGATTATTGTTATAAGGAAATCTGGTCAAGAAACCTGAATTAGTAAGTTTACTGACCTTGATAATAGAGAAAAATACCAGAAAGTTAAGTGATCATTTTGTTGCTAAGTAAAATTGAAAGGAAATCTTGAAATTGCTGAGCATTGAACAGATGTTTCCTCGATATTTTAACATGCTTTAGGAAAGTGACTGGTAGGCCTAACTTGACATTTCAAGATCGTTTTAAGACAGCAGTTAGGGCTGGCTGATCTTCATGTAGCCTATATCAACCATAGAACTTACAACCTTCCCTTTAAAACTGATAACATGTGCTGACTTGGTTTTGGTGACGTTTATGTAACTGGTTTCAGTCACCTGAACACAGACCTCTAACAATTTTGCCAGGTATTTAAAGTTTCCTTCCTTCCTTCCTTCCTTCTTTCCCTCCCTCCCTCCCTTCCTCCTTCCCTCCCTCCCTCCTTCCCTCCCTCCTCCCCCCTCCCTCCTTTCTTTTCTGACTATCTGTCTGACTGTCTGTCATGGGGCTTGAACTGGATCTGGACACTGTCCCTCTGCTCTTCAGTTCAAGACTCTAGCGCTATATACCACTTGAGCTACAGCACTGCTGCTGGTTTCTGGTTTTTGGAGATAAGAGTCTCACAGACTTTCTTGTCCCAGCTAGCTTTGAACTTCGATTCTTAGATCTCAGCCTCCTGAGTAGCTAGGATGACAGCTGTGAGCTACTGGAGCCTGGCTTTTTTTTTTTTTTTGGTCAGTCCTGAGCTTTTTTTAAATTTTTTTCCTTCCTCAAGCTAGTGTTGGAAATAAGAATCTCACAGACTTTCCTGCCTTGGCTGGCTTCAAGTTGCAGTCCCCAGATCGCATCCTCCTGAGTTGTTAGGATTATAGGTGTCTCCTGGCCCTATTTAATTTTTATCTTTGAATTACTCAGTACATTTAAGTGGGTTTCTTGCCTTGCTGTTCAGTTCACTGTGTTCTACCTGTTGTAGATCTTAAAATAATACTCTGAATATATCCCTCACTGTTTAGAAATCTTCGAGCACAGTTTGGATCTGATAACCTTTAAAAGTCTACACAAAACCTATTTTTCTCTGTTAGTCATTCACATTTACTGCTGTCTTAGTCTACCTTCTAATCACAGCCCTTGAAACTGAATATCTATACTTAGCCTGTCTGCTGCCGAAACCAATTTTCCCTATGTTACTCAGGTAGCCATGATGTAAAATTTTGTGGCAACTTATTTTTGGCCCTTTGAAACAGCCTCCCCAAACATTTTTGTTCCATGTGTTATTGCTTTTATTTGAATCATAGTCCTTACTAATTAACTCACTCATTCATTTTATGTAAAACATAAAAGGAGGAAACATAGAGGTATATCACATTTTTTTTTTTTTTGGGTCCGGTTGTGGGGCCTGAACTCTGGGCCTGGGCACTGTCCCTCAGCTCTTCAGCTCAAGGCTAGCGCTCTACCACTTGAGCCACAGCACCACTTCCGGCTTTTTTCTTTTTGCTTATGTGGTGCTAAGGAATCGAACCCAGGGCCTCGAGCATGCAAGGCAAGTGCTCTACCACTGAGCCACCTTCCCAGCCCTGTATATCACATTTTTTAAGTCAGTATTTTTCAGGTAGTTGTACAAAGGGGTTTCAGTTCCAATCGTCAGATAATGAATACAATCCATCTTGGTCTATGTCATCTATTCTGTGGTTCTCCCCCATCTCCCTGGGCTGGCTTGGAACTGAGCTCCTCAGCTCTCATCCTCCTGAGTAGCTAAGGATGATAGCCATGAGCCAGTAATGCCAGGCCTGAATGATAATTGTTCATTTTATTTATTTATTTTTCCAGTTATGGGGCTTGAACTCTGGGTCTGGGTGCTGTCCCTCAGCTCTTCAGCTCAAGGCTAGCGCTCTACCACGTGAGCCAGAGCGCCACTTCTGGCTTTTTTTTTCTTTTTGCTTATGTGGTGCTGGGGAATTGAACCCAGGGCCTCAAGCATGCAAGGCAAGCACTGTACCACTGAGCTTAGTGGTACAAAGGAGGTACCATATAACAGGGCAGCTTATGAATACAATGCATCTTGATCACTGTCCTTCCCTTTACCATCCTCAACTCCCTCCTACCCATCCCTTTTCCTAATTTTGTGGTATGAAATCTTGATTATATTCTCTCCTCTTCCTTTCCTTTTAGCCCCCTCCCTTGCATATGTATGTGTTTGTGTGTTTGGTGTCAGTCCAGGGGCTTTAACTCAGGGTCTATGTCCCTGAGTTTTTGTGCTCAAGACTAGTGCTTTACTACTTTGAGCCACAGCACCATTTCCAGATTTTTGATAGTTAATTGGAGATAAGAGTCTCATAGATTTCTCTGCCCGAGCTAGTTTTGAACCGTGATCCTTAGATCTCAAGTCTCCTTAGTAGGATTTAGGTGTGAGCCATCAGTGCCTTGCTGAATGACACTTTTTTTTTTTTTTTTTGGTTGGTCGTGGAGCTTGAACTCTGGGCCTGGACACTGTCCCTCAGCTCTTCAGCTCGATGTTAACACTTCTGGGTTTTCTGGAGATTAAGAATCTCAAGGACTTTCCTGCCTGGACTGGCTTTGAACCATGATCCTCAGATCTCAGTCTCCTGAGTAGCTAGGATTACTGGTGTGAGCCACCAGTGCCCCACTCTGAATGACACTTTTTATTTTTTGGTTGGTCGTGGGGCTTGAACTCTGGGCATGGACGCTGTCCCCAAGCTCTTCAGCTCAAGACCAGTGCTCTACCGCTTGAGCCACAGCGCCACTTCTGGTTTATTGGAGATAAGAGTCTCACCGACTTTTCTGCTCAGGCTGGCTTTGAATCACTATCCTTAGATCTCAGCCTCCTGAGTTGCTAGGATGACAGGCACAGGAGTGAGCCACCAATGCCTGGTTGAATGACACTTCTAAAAGAAACATTTAGATTGCTCTATGTACAACCAGAAGTCAGTGATTTTTATTTTCTATGTTTTCTTTCTTATTCTTGTCCTTAAGGCTTATAAGGCCTTGCACAATTGGTCTTTTGACTCCTGATAGTTGTATGCTTAGCTGGTCTCCCATTTTCCTTAGGCCTGTGAGGCCTGTGAATATATTCTTCCCTCCAGCTGATGATGGCTCCCTTAGGTTAATTAGTATTAAGTTTGGCTGCTAGGAGCAGAAAGATGCCAAATAATTTTACTCTCATGCCAGAGAAATTCAATATTGGCATGAGACTCAATGTTCTTTCCAGGTATAGGGGTGTGTCTGTATTTATTGGTAGTAATGTTGAAATTAAGATACTATTATATAAGGCTTTCAACATTTTTCCCTTTGGTAGATTTTTATTGTGGTATCCAATTGAAAATCTCGGTTTCTTTGGGGTTGGTAGCTTGTATCTGTAACCCCAGCTACTTGGGAAGGGTGCTTTAAGGTCAGCCTGCGTGAAAGTTAGCTTCCTCCATCTGAAGAAGTGAGCTGAGAGTGGCTGGGCAGACTTTAATCCCAGCTCTAATGGAGTCCATAAGTAGGAGGATCCTGACCTGAGACTCGTCCTGTGCAAAAACCTGGGACTCTGTCTGAACAATAAAAGTGAAGGGTAGCAGTGTGGCTTAAAGTGGTATAGTCCTACCTAGGAACTCGAGACCCTCTGAACATCCTTGTCTAAAATGATCTTAGTTTTT